TTGAGTGACTTCTTAGCATGGAAAGAACCAGGGTCATTATCTGGCATGCTGATCTCTACAGAGACCAGGTTGAGAGACAAACACCATGGCTGCATGACACTTCCATTGCACATACAAAATCTGTGATGTTCTCTACTCCTACATATACGGTTGGAATCAACAGTTAGCTTACATATGCTTGAAAAAAGTGAAAAAAAGGGCTAGTGAATGCTCTTGCAGTATAATTCCAATTAGAATTGTTTATGAATAATTTTCCTTATTATTTGTTGAGCAGGAGCATGCAGTACACTCTGCCTTGTGCCACTCTGGCTCCAGGAAACAATATGAAACATGAGAGAGAAAAAAAAAATGCATGACTTATTTACAACCTTGACTTCCTTTGGAATTAAGCCCTGCATTTCTCTGGTATTCTGTAACATTTAACTGGTAATTATGCTTATTTAATTGATTTTTGTTTATCTAACACTTCAATAAGATCAAAACAAAAAAGCCATCGGAACGCAAAGTGCATGCTGCGATTTCAAATTGTAAATGTCATTTTTAAGCTTTTATTACCAAAATGTAGTATTTTGTACCATTTCATTAAAAATGTATCTGGCTATGCTCCAATACTATTTAACTATAAACAGGAAGAGCCTTGGAGGACAAGTAATCATGCTTAAATGACATAAAGATCATTAAAATAATGTTCCAAAAGCCTTGCAAAATTAGACATTGCAAGAAAGTGTTCTTTTTTTGCCAGATGGAGAAATGTGCTGAAATGGTAGCTGTGTGTGGGAAGGGAGACTGTCTGTACAATCTTTTCATCATACTAGAGTCATATAGTGTGCATAAGCATAATGTGGGCTTGTCACAATGGTACCTCACACCTTATTTTTATCAAATGTGCTTGCGTTCATGATATCTCCCACTCTGCAGTGTACTAGTGAAGCTTATGCAGAATCTGAGCCTGGGAATTCCCTGCAATATTTCCTTAGACTTGTCAACTAGATTTATTCATAGATGAGAACAAATGAGCGTGTCAGCATAAGTTATCGTGGTAATTTGTGAAACTGTTAATGAGATATTTTCAGAGCTCATAAAAAGGAAGAACTGTGTCATTAAATTACTGCACAATAATTTTATTTTGATACAGGGAGAGCACCAATATTTTATCAAAAATGACACCCTGATGCATCAGTGAACTGAAGATGTGTGGTTAAATATTGAAAAGAAAGAATATCTAACAGCTCTCTTAGAACTTAGTGCTTACTCACGAAAATGTGGAAAAGAAAAAAACAAGTGTTAATTGCAAGGAAGCGTGAAATGACCACAAAGAGAATCTGCACGTCTCAAGGTAATATATTTGCTTGTTTGAAGAATTTTACAAAGTTGGCTTCTATAGCATTTGTAGACACATGTGAATAGGAAATGTGATAACCATGATAAGAGACAAAAAAATAATAATAATTTATTAATATTTATTAATTAGTATGTTATGGAGAGTACTAATAGGGTCAGTAGGGTTAACCTATACTATATTTCCAAGCCATACAACTGACCAAAGACTATCTGTTGTCTTTTCATTACCAGGGCCTTTCCCTCAACTAGCATTCACTAGGAGATATTCTGTTACGAACAAAGAAAAGCCACTTAATTCCATTAAGCCTTTATGTGCTGCATAAAAAAAGACAGCTACTGAGAATCCATTACAACATAACCATTTTGTGTTTTATGTGATATTTAATACATAATCATAATGACTCCATGGGCATCAGAAAGATATGTATATTGTATATGACATTTAATTCTAGTGTTTAACTTGATTTGCATAACTAGTAACTTATATTAATTCTTACATTTTCTTAATAGATCCACACTAAAGTGGGAATAGAAACTAGGGCTGTGGGAGTTGGTTATGCCAGAATATAGCTTTTCATGTCAATTTAGCAGTCCAGATTCTGTTAATATCATTAATGACCAAGAACCTGATAGCTGATGGCTGTTCTATAGCTTATCTGACATGAACTGCTGATTTTAATCCAGTTTCTTGCAGTCTGATATAGTCATCATGTAAACTAATGGTGCCCTCAATTTTCACCCTTATTATGAATCAGTCTTAGAATTGTGAGCTGGCATGGAATGGCAAACTCTTTTGAATCCTAAAATTTCTCTCTCCTCAGAGTTTAATTTGCATAGTCATTTTCCTTAGGGTGGGAAGGTGAGATGATAAAGCTGGTTCTTAATGTTATTTCACTGTGACTTAGAAAACCGTTTTTCTGATTTTTCATCAACTTCTTATATGATGTTGGGTAAATCACCTAGTCATTCTGTGCCTCAGCTCTTGGTCTGTAAAACTGGGACAATGGCATTTCTGCATTTATACAGGTGTTCAGAGGCGTCAGATAGTAAGTTAATGGAAGCCCTGGGAACACCTAAGGTAGACAGACAAGTAGACTGATCCATTCTGTAGACAAACAGAGAATAATCTTCACTGCCAATTTTGTCCTATCCATCCAGAACAGTATACTAATTTAAAAGCCAATAAAGAAAACGGACAACAAAGGTAGTTGGTTCTGTTTAGCTGGTATGAAAGCTTTGATTTGAATATTCTTGTTCATGATTTATAATCTCTTAATAACTAAACATTGAGAAACCAGGATGCACTTGTCCTGTATCACAAGATACAAGGACTTTATGATTATATTTCTTTTGATACAGTATAACACTGTGAACATTACAGAAGCCATTTATAAAAAAAAAAAAGCTAGTAAAGAACAGTAGACCAAACAGTAGCCATCATAAGGAGTGTGTGTGTTTGGGCGCGTGCGCACATACCTACCCAAATTTCAGTTTCTTATATTTAGTATAAATTATTCTAGGGGAGAAGCAGAAACGAGAATTAGTACAAGCTCTGTCTCAACAACAGACGTGTTGTAATCATATGTTTCCACTATGGTGACGTACTAGGAAAAGAGAAAGTTAGGAACTCAGCATTGATCTGCCAGCAGAGGTTGCTCTTATATTAACGATTAACCTAGGAGCTTATAACCAGTTAAAAATATGAAGAAATTAAACAAGATTGTTTTAATGATTAAATGGTCTAAATGCTGGAATTTCATAAAATAATTTTTATCATGTCAGGTATGTGGTAATTTCTGAGAGCTACATTCTGCCACACTTCGTCTGGTGTAGCAGAACAGTTTTATCTTCAGGCAGCTCTATTGATTTCAATTAAACACCTTGAGTAGGAATATGTTGTTCATTGCAAATAAGTATATACGAATTTGGCATTAGTTACCAAAAATGATGTTTTTTCCCCCCATTTATTAATTTCCTTGAATGTAAAGTGACATCCCTGAAATGAAAGCAGTTTATTGCTTGCTAGGAGCAAACCTGTGCTAATTTAAGAAAATCAGAATTAAAGTTTTTGAAGCATATCCAGGCATGTTTATAAGGCCTGTATCATTCCAAACAGTAGCTTTCCTAAATATTCTCCTTCTAATTTGCCACCATCCTAAAATGTTCAACTGACTTAATATTAGGTCATGTGATTTTAGGTCTCCAACTTCCACCTTAAATTCTAAGCAAACCACAAACAACTGCAATGTATTTAGTCTGAAAACTTCTTAGAGCGCTCATTACTCATAACCAATAGTAAGTAAAGGAGTGAAATGACCTGGACAATGGAACATTTAAATCTTTGCACAAGATGCTCTGCTGGTGCTGGAGTGATTTCACAAATAACAGCTGTGGAGTTTGTTAACATATGAATCCCCTTGAGATAATTTGGAGAAACCAAATGTGCTAAACTAAACACCTCATTAAAGCAGTACTTAGAAAAAAGCACAACTAATTTCAAATTCCACTTAAAAAATTTAAGATGTAGTAAGAGATATTCAGTAATATAGAATGCATTTATCTGTATTGTTGGAAACCACCTTTTGAAACATCTGTAACATTATGACTTTTATGCTAAAATGCACTTGAGACTGAAGTGATTTTGAAGTGCATTCTTTTACAAAAACCAATTAAATGAAGGTAATAATGTTCTTCACCCTAAACTCATGACTGAACTAAATGCACCAGCCCCAAGACTGTCATCAGGTATACAGGTCACAGCTTCTATTGAATTTTGTGGTTTGATGAACCAAAACAGAAGCTCATGGAAGTCAATGGAAATTTTTCTCTTCCTTCAATGGGCTTTGGACCAGGCCCAATGGGGGCTGTGCTGACGTGTTTGGGGGACAGTTTAGGCCCACAGTGGGAAGCTGTAATGTAGAAACACTGAATAAAGGATAAGGAAGGTCTCTATACTAATTCCACAGGAAGACACCTTTCTTCTGCTTTAAGTTAACCCATGTTACTGGGTAACTGGGTGACGATTTATGGCTATTTTATATAGAAGATGAGTCTAGAGGTACATACAGATGTTGAGGAAGGTTATGGGGAGGTTAGATCACATTAGAAGTGGCCACCTGATCTAACTTTGTTTGCCCAGGTGTGGACCCCCCCCCCCCCGAGTTAGGTCAATCTAAGTGCTAACTGTACAGAAATTCAGGATGGTTAGAATAATCTAAATATAGTCAACCCAACCTAGGTTAATGTACCTCAGAGGTACTCTAATTTAGATCCAGTCCAATGACACCAATCTAATTGAATTTCTGTAGTTAGCATGCAACCCCAGAGCTGGGAAAGCCCAAGTACTGACCCCAGCCTTGGAGCTGCACTTTTTCTCTCCCTGCGCTGGCACTAAGCTATTTTTAGCCCTACTTGCCCCACCGTCAGATGGGAACCCCTTCCCACAGACCAGCGAGCCCCACCTTGAGCCTGCCAACCCCCCTGCATCCTGCAAGCCACTCCAAGTGGCGATTTTACAAGTGCTGAGAGCCAAGGAAGTCTGTTCAGATGGAGGGGAAGTAAGTTGGGGTGGAGGGAGGGCCAGGTGTGATTGTGGGGAGTTGTTCATCTGGGGGTGGGGGAGTCAAGGGATTAAAAATAACCCCAGGTGGGGGGAACAGCATCCTACTTATTCCTGAAGCCACCCTGTGGACCCAGCTAGCCTCCCCTAATCCCACCAAACCCTCTCAGACCCCACCAACCCCCTACAAATCTCCCTAGTCCCCACTACACCCCACTTGCCCCCTGATCCTGCCCAACACCCTTGGACCCTACCAACCCTACCCTCAGACCCCACTAGCCCCTGATCTCCCCAAGTCCCTCTGCAGACCCTGCTTGCCCCCCAAGGCTCCCTGATGGCCCCAAGGCCCCAGTTAGCCCTCCATGCTGCTGACTTACATGAGGGGCTGGCAGGGGAGATTATGCTTAAGGGCAATCAACACGGGTTCATTAGAATCAGGTCCTGTCAGACCAACCTGGTGGCCTTCTATGACCAGGTCATCAAATCCTTAGATGCAGGGGTAGCAGTGGACATAGTATTCCTGGACTTTCGGAAGGCCTTTGACACTGTCTCTCACCCTGTTCTCATTAAGAAACTGGGGGACTGTGGTGTCGACACCCACACAGTCAAATGAGTCGCCAACTGGCTGGAGGGCTGCACCCAGAGAGTGGTTGTGGATGGGTCATTGTCGACCTGGAGGGATGTGGGCAGTGGG